GCTCAACTGCTGAGCCAGGCCAGCGGGGCGCCCAGGCCTGATGCCTGGGCCAGAGGCATCAGGCCTAGGCTGGGGGCAGAACCCAGTGATGGGGGGAAATGAGGCCTGGGCAAGGGGCCGATCCTGCGATTGGAGGGTGATGGGGGTCAACGCCTGAGGGCTCCCAGTATGTGAGAGGGGGCAGGCTGGGCTGAGGGACACTCCCCCCACACACACACACCAAGTGCACAGATTTCGTGCACCGGGCCCCTAGTTAGCTAATAAGTCACAAAGAGTGTAATATTGGTACATGACCCTTTGGTTACGGCCTGGTGTGCTGGACCCTTGCTGTCTAGTCAATGAGCCATACTTCCTGGCTGCAGGACCTTTACAAAGTGAAAATCCACAAGCAATTGCTCAGTATTCATCAGCATCCTCTGTCAAATTAAACAACACTTTTCAATTGTTAATTTCTTGATTATGGACAATGCAATGAGGTACAAAGTGAACTATATGTTTTGTTTTATGAACTTAGAAAATATATTCTAATTCTGTTTCTATAGGCAATGGCAGCAGATAAAAGTGATGAATGGTTTGCTAAACGAATTAAACGTTAATAGAAGATATCATGTGGAACAAGCATTTACGATTCCTGTCTATCACCTGCGAGGTTTGATGTGTCCATTCATAATAAATGCTCTCACAACTTGATTGTTCCCTGTATAGTTGAGGAAGCTGGGTAGTGAAGATTTGTGTATTTTAATCTTTAAAAGGTCTGATATGTTTTTATGTTTTAGGTATAAATCCTTTTATTGTCAGTCTGGGGCAACTATATGGAACATTACCCTTGGTTGGGGATAAATGGAAGGAATTTTAATAAGCATGTGGATTTATGAAAACACTTATTTGCAAAATAAATTTTGTTCCTTAAACCAAAAGATTTAGTTAACACCCCCGCATTCCTTGCTTTAAAATTTTGAGTAGCCAGAGAAAACAGACAGAAGGATCTAATGCAGTGGTTCTCAACCTTCCTAATGCCGCGACCCTTTAATATAGTTCCTCATGTTGTGATGACCCCCAATTTCATTGTTACAAATTGAACATAATTAAAGCATAGTGATTAATCACAAAAACATTATGTAATTATATATGTGTTTTCCAAAGGTCTTAGGCGACCCCTGTGAAAGGGTCATTTGACCCCCAAAGGGGTTGCAACCCACAGGTTGAGAACCGCTAATCTAATGTGTTGTGTAGCTACACACCTGGCTCTGTGCTAGTTTCCTTATATAATTTTTAAAAATCTTCACAAAAAGAACACATTAAATTTCTTTTTTTATATAATGATATTTATTTTTCTTTATTTTTAAAATACATTTCTTTATTGATTTCAGACAGAAAGGGAGAAGGAGAGAGAGCTAAAAACATCAATGATGAGAGAGAATCATTGGTCGGCTGCCTCCTGCACACCCCCCACTGGGGATCGAGCCCACAACCCAGGCATGTGCCCTTGGCCGGAATCAAACCTGGGACCCTTCAGTCCGCAGGCTGACGCTCTATCCACTGAGCCAAGCCAGCTAGGGCCACATTAAATTTCTTTAAAATGGATTAGATGATTTCTTTAGCCTGAAAAAAATTTTTTTAATGTTTTCTTATAATTTTTGTTTGGTTCTGTAGAACAAATACATTTTAATTACTGGAAACATTAATTATATTGGGCACATTTATTATTAAATGTTTTTTGAAGATATACTACTAAAATCAAGCTATTATACCAACCTGTAAGATTCATTATTTAAAGTGGTGAGCAGCTCTAGCTGGTTTGACTCAGTGGATAGAGCATGGGCCTGCGGTCTGAGAGATCCTGGGTTCAACTCTGGTCAAGGGTACATGCCTCGGTTGCGGGCTCCATCCCCAGTGGAGGCAGCCAATCAATGATTCTCATCATTGATGTTTCTATCTCTCTCTCTCATTCCCCTTCCTCTCTGAAAGAAATAAAAATATTTTTAAGCCGAAGCCGGTTTGGCTCAGTGGATGGAGCGTTGGCCTGCAGACTGAGGGGTCCCGGGTTCGATTCCAGTCAAGGGCACATGCCCGGGTTGTGGGTTTGATCCCCAGTAGGGGGTGTGCAGGAGACAGCTGATCAATGATTCTCTCTCATCATTGAATTCACAAGGAGCCCTAGCTGGTTTGGCTCAGTGGATGGAGCATCGGTCTGCGGACTCAAGGGTCCCGGGTTTGATTCCGGTCAAGGGCACCTGCCCAGGTTGTTGGCTCAATCCCCAGTAGGGGATGTGCAGGAGGCAGCCGATCAACAATTCTCTCTAATCATTGATGTTCTCTCTCTCTCTCCCTCTCCATTCCTCTCTGAAATCAATAAAAATATATTTAAAAAAATAAAGTGGTGGGCATGTTCAAATTTCAGGAAAGAAATTGATAATATTGGAAAGGATTGACTCAGAGGATACCAGTTCCAGAATAATATATATTCAACTAGAGGCACGGTGCACAAATTCATGCACAGGTGGTGCCCCTCAGGGTGGCCTGTGGAGATCGGGCCCCAGCTCGCGCCCCAGCCTCATAGCCCTGCATCCCCACCTGGCATCCCGCCATGGCCTGGTTCCGCCCCCTCACTTGCTCTACCATCCCACCTGTGGGGTGATCGATTAGGGTAGGGCCCGCTGCCCAGCTCCCTCAGCACTTGGGAGCTGGGCAGCAGCCCCACCCCCTGCCACCGCTGCTGGTTGCCATCTGCAGGGCAATCGGCGGGGCGATCGGGCCCCTGCTCTCACCCACTTTGGCTTGGTGCTGCCCACTCACCTGCTCCACCATCCTGCCATGGTCCTGCTCGCGTCATGGCCCATCAGGCTAGCAGCGCCTTCACTGCCTCCCACTGCCAGTGCCACGTCGCCAACACCTGCTATGTTCCACGCCGCCCCCTGGTGGTCAGTGCACATCATAGCGAGCAATTGAACTCTCGGTCTCCCAGTCGAACAACCACTCGGGACAATTTGCATATTAGGCTTGTATTATATAGGATTACTTGTAAATCATAGCCTCTGTTGTTCTCCCTTGCTGACAGTGTTGGGTATGGAAATTTCAGGGTGAATTTCAGTCCTTATAGGGTGATCTTCACTGAGAGAAAAAAATCTCTTTCTGGCTTCACAGAACTTTGCACTCAAATTCTGTTTTAGGAAAGCAATCATGAGTTTCAAAGCAAACCAAGTTAGATATTTCCCCCTCTAGACAGTTGGTTCACTGTTTTTGTTTATACATGGGGAAATTATTTATGAATTTTGAATAATCAAATAAACCTCTGTGTTTTTTAGACTACGATTTGTTAATTCTCAGATTTTTCTATTAGATAATTAAGTAATTTTTTTTAATTAAGTAATTTTTTAAAGTAAATCTTGATGTGTGTCTCTAGTAATACTGTTCTTGTGAAACTCTACTTTCCCCAGTGTATTAGGCTACTTCTAAGTTTCTTATGGTAAAATAAGTGATTTATGTAAGCATTGAATGACTAACCAGTACTAGATCCCTCTTTCAGATATCAGGGCTGATATCATAAAGCTAAAATATCCCAAGTAGATAAACAGCATTAACTTACATCATGCATAGTTGTACACTTACTAGTAAGAGGAAAAAATTTTGAAATCAATTATATGTATACTAGAGGCCCGTTGCATGAAGAGATTTGTGCAATAGGCCTTCCTTTCCCTGGCTGCCGGCACCGGTTTTCCTCCAGCACCTGGGACCCAGGCCTTCACTCCGGCTGCAGCAGAGAAGCCAAGCCTCTTCAGTCTTCAGTCGTCTTCGGTCTTTGCTCTGTGCCTGCATATGCAAATTAACTGCCATCTTTGCTTGTTTAAGTTGCATACTCATCCTGATTGGCTGGTGGGCATAGTGGAGTGACACCAATTTGCATGTTTCTCTTTTATTAGTGTAGAGGCCCAGTGCACAAAATTTGTGCACAGGGTGAGGGGCAGCGGTCCCCTCAGCCAGCCTGCACCCTCTCTAATCTGGGTCCCTCGGGGGATGTCCGACTACAGGTTTAGGCCCAACCCCTGCAGGATCGGGTCTAATCATTGATTTTAGAGAGGAAAGGAGAGGGAGAGAGAGAAACATCAGTGATTAGAGAGGATTATCAATTGGCTGCCTCCTGCAGGCCCCACACTGGGGATCGAGCCCACAACCGGGCATATGCCCTGACCGGGAATCGAACCTGATCTCCTGGTTCACAGGACAATGCTCAACCACTGAGCCACACCGGCTGGGCATGGGTATACTTCATTCTTAAGTAATGTACTTAGTCTGTAGCAACTTCCTGCAAATATGTGAACAGAAGATCTCAAAGATAATCTGGTGAGGTTTGGTTTCCTCTGAGGCCTTTATGGTTGTTGCTTCTGTTGTTTACTAGCCCTTCATGAACTGGAGCTAACCTAATGTCATGAAGTATGAAAACAGTGTCTGTGTTTTTCTTTATGACCCTATTTTCTAAGAGCCAAACATAGCTCCAAAGGGCCGAGCCTCACCCTAAGCGCTGAAGCTAATCCTGAAGGGTTGACCCTCGTTCCTAAGAGCCAGGCCTGGCCCCAAAGAGCCCAACCTCGTTTGGAAAAACCAAGCCCGGCTCCAAAAAGCCCAGCCTAGTCCTGAAGCGCCGAGTGTAGCCCCCAAATGCTGAGCTAACCCCAAAGAGCCCAGCCTAGTCCTGAAGCGCCGAGTGTAGCCCCCAAACGCTGAGCTAACCCCAAAGAGCCCAGCCTAGCCTCAAAGGGCGAAGCCTGGCCAGGAGGAGTCCAACCTAGTTCCGAATGGCCTAGCCTAGTGCCAGAGGGTGGAGCCCAGTCCAGAAGGTCAAGCCCCTAAGAGCCTAGCTTAGCCCCAAGGAATGGAGCAGGGCCAGAAGAGCTAAAGCCAGTCCCCAATGGATAACCCTAGCCCCCAAAACATTTTTTTTTAATTAAGGAAAAACATTGGGGAATCCCATACCACAACAGACCTTTTGCTTCAAAATGTCTCTAATATCGTTTAGCCTTCATATCCCAGTGCAATGTTGTGCATTGATGCCGCCATGATATCAGTGCTAAGGAGTGGAAGCTGAGCTCAGGCACTCTGGCTCTTGCATGGGTCAGAGGATTTGTTTTGCTCCTGAAACAAATCCCGTAACATACATGTACATATTGTCCCACAAACATCCCCAAGTAGAAACCAGGATTCGCTACACAGCAGTCCCAAGAAAATTAGTCGCTAGGCCTTGATGAGTGTTTCAGAGGTGGCATTTTGAAACCATCTGCTCCAGTGTTTCTCAGCTGCTGTGTTGTGATGCTACAGTTACTTGCTACAAGTCTGTCTTCCCTCAACACATGAACTTCATCCGGCCTGTGTTCCAGTAGGGGCTTTGGGTCGTAGGACTTGACCAGCTTTTTGGAAGATAACACCTCTTCCCCTCCATAATGCTGGGCTAATAGTGAATGGACAGCCTCTGATGAGATAGGTGCCTGGGCCTCCTCTCTTTACCTCCTCCCCCAGAAGCAGAGCCTCCGTCATGGACTTCAAACCTTGGGCATTTTCCTAGCCTGATTCTCTGCCACCCCTCTACTGCCGTCAAATATCTACATATGATCTGACCATAGGAAGGCTGGGAAAACTTAGAATCAGACCCAAGGCCAGATTTGATGGACTTTCTTTAGAGGAGAGATGCCCTTAACGCATTTCGGTCAGCTCCCCGGTACTCTCAGTCACTTTGAGTTCACTGCTGTTCGAACAGCAGATGTGCACTTTTGTGCAGCTTTTTAAGAAAAAATATATTTTATTGAGTTTTACAGAGAGGAAGGGAGAGGGATAGAGAGTTAGAAACATCGATGAGCGAGAAACAACACTCAGCTGCCTCCTGCACACCCCCTACTGGGGATGTGCCCACAAACCAAGGTTCATGCCCTTGACCGGAATCGAACCTGGGACCCTTCAGTTCGCAGGCTGACACTCTATCCACTGAGCCAAAGCGGTTAGGGCTCATGCAGTTTTTAAAAGATTTATTGATGTCTCAGCTACGGTAGCCACAGTTTGGGGACATTTCAGCCATCAAGGTCTTTTAAGAAGCCCATTTCCCTACCAGAGGAGCCCTGCTACTTCATTGTTTGACTCCTTGTCCCCCTTAACCATTTTCCTTTTTCTTCAGTTCTTCTACTTTAGTAATGTAGATCCTCATGGCGTCCATCTTGGTCATCCCTTTTTTCTCATTCCATGCCTCCCATTTGGCCTTGGCTTTCACATCTGTGTCAGGCGGGGCAGGGATGTTGCAGTCGCCCTGGGTGGCCTGTTTGTAGAAGCTGTACACCACCAGTTTCTCCTGATCACTCACAGGGCCCTTCAACTGCTTCAGAGTGGCGCAGGCCAGCTCAAATTCCACTTGGCCCATTGCGGGAACTGAGGTTCGGCCCCTCTGGCTCTTTTAAGTGATACCTGGTCCTAGAAGCTGGAGGGTGAAGAACTAGAAACACTTGGGGCTGGTGATTATGTCTGGGAAGAAGGGAAAGGGAGAAAAGGAGACAGGGTGATATATATGGGAAAACACGGGATATTTGTGTTCTCAGTGAAAAACCAAATGGGCCCACTGGACTGGATCTGCCCTCACGGCCGCCCCCCCCCCCCCCACCCGCACACCCACAACCCCCCCCCCCACACACACACAGTTGTTCTGGTCCCGCACTGTGCATTTTCTGGGGCGGAGGACGACCATTCACATTTCAAAGGCGTCTACGATGCCAGAAAATTAAGGAGCTGCTGCTGTGTTCTGAAGGAGGAGCAATGGGGACGCTTTGGGAGGCTGTGGCGCTAGGTGGTCAGAGCGTGAGATGGGGAGATGCGCTGGGGGGAAGAAGCCTGGCATTACAGAGGGTGCGTCCGTGCTGGTTAGTGGGCAGCCTGCGAGGGGCGTTCAGTGTGTGTGAACTGCGGGGGATTCCGGGGTGACTGGGGGGAGCCGAATGCGGGGCTGGGAACGGAGCTAATGGGTAGGACCCACTGGGAGCAGGAGGCAGGGCTGGGCAGTG